AAGGAGCACCGGGACTCATGAAGGACACAACTGAATGGGGCTTGGAGGAGGCTGCAAGTTGGGGGAGGCGGAATTTCAGGGAATCCTCTGGGCAGAGCGACCTCTGTTATCCAGTTTGATGACGTCTCAGCTATGGTGGCGCTGAGTCCTCACACTGGGAGCGGGGAGGGCTCAACACAGGAACAATGGATGCCTTTGGCACTTCTGCCTGGAAGAGAGCCTCACCTCCAGTCCTTGCTCTAACAACTCAATGTCCCTCTGTAAGTCCCTTCAGCACTTCTGCCTGGAAGAGAGCCTCACCTCCATCCCTTGCTCTAACAACTCAATGTCCCTCTGTAAGTCCCTGGTGCCCCCCAAGCAGCCTACCAGCGCTGGTGCTCAGAGTGAACAAGTCCGTCACCACAAAAGTCCTGTTGGACATGGCCCCTTGAGCAGCCTTGCATCTTAGCCCCCTCCTACCTTATACAGTTGGAAGTTGATTAATTATTTCTCTCCCTAGTTGTAGGGCTCTGTTCATCTAGATCGCAGGCGACTTTGTTTGCTGTTTGTTCCGTGTTTCCGTTCCAACTTTGATGTGGTTGCAAGAGGGATGAACAAAGCCTCTATCATCTACGCCATTTTTAGATGCCTCCTCTAGCTTCCTTTTTTATTTTAACTAATTTAATCTATGATCATACACAATGTGTTTAGTCATCTCTTTAATCTTCTTTAATCCAGAAGGGGTCTCTAGTTTCCTTTGTTTTTATGATGTTGAGAATTTTGATGTCACTCTTGTAGAGTGTCCATTAATTTGGATTTGCCACTTTATTGTTTCTACATGACTAGATTGAGGTTAAACATTATTACAGGAAAATTGCAGAGGTGAAGTTTTCTTTGTTTCCTTACCTTAAAGCTCTAGGTTCATGAAAACAGTTTTTATGTGTTCTTTTAAAAGTCATGTCTTCTCTTAAATGTCACTTTTTTAAGCTATGAAATTATGTTATTCTCTAATATAGCACTCTATGCTTTCTTACTTGTTTTTTGTCTTTCTCCCCCATTTTGTCAGTTTCATAAAGGAGGAGATCCTGTGCGTTTTATTTACGGTTATATCCTTTACATCTAGGAATGCTTGGCACACAGTGAAGTTTAAGAATTATTTAAGAACAAATCTCTTTTCAATTGACTTTTGGTGAAACAAAAAATAACGACTGTAAGTTCTCCTATCAAGAGTTTGAAAAGTTAGCATTTTATTTTTTTGTTTGTTTTTGGTCTAAGTGTAAGAGGCCTAATTATTGTGACCTGGTTTCTGGAATAGTTATACTGAATTTTCAGTACTCTTCTCCTGGACTCTTTTCCACTTTTTTATGCAGCCTGCCACTAGATATTTTCCAGGCATGGACTCTAATGCTAAGTACTGAAGACAAAAGGTGAATGAGACACAATCCTTGTCTCTGAGTAGTATATGTTTTAGTAATGGGAACAAATACTAAAGAGCTATAGTAATGAACAAATTACTGCATGAGCACATATCTGGGGACAAGTGTCTCCAGTAGGACTCATCTCAGTTCTGAACAAGGCCTAAGGAATCTGACATGTGACTTAATGCTGCATAAACTTGCAGCCTGAAAGCTAGGTAGTGACAAAATAGACATTCTCATCAGTGTGAGCTGTTCTCTGAGTCCAGCAGAGTGATTCAAATCAGAATTTGTCATTTTACAGTTTGGTTTAAGGGCTAAGCAGTGAAAAATTAAGAAGCTATTTAATTCTTATTCAGTTTATATATTCATATAACCTGTTTATTTCAAGAGACTTAGTTAATTAAGTATTAATTGTATTGATTAACATCTATAAGAATATTTCATCTTAATAAGGCTCTGTGAAATCACCCATTTTTTATTTGCAATTAAGAAAATATTGGAAAATAAATGTTCCTGAATCTAAGCTTGTATTCTTTTTATTCCTCTTAAAGTGATGTCAATATCAAAATGCCAATCAACTCCAGTGGACCTGATTTGGTGACCGTGATTCCCAAGAGAATAAAAGGTAAAAAGGAGTGAGCTTGATGATTTGTTTTTTCTTGCTAAGTCGGTCGAGGCTTTGTAGTTTCACTGATGTTACAGAACCCTTTTTGCCATGGTTACTTCTGGGCACAATTGAAAATACTGAAAGATATTGCAAACACTAAAGCCACAGGGACTACGTATATAATGCACATGACTCCAGCAGGGTGGGCACTAGCCACATGCATGTCTTGTGTGAGTGGAACCAAAGAGCAAGGACCACCTAAAGGGGGCAGCCTTTCCCCAGTCTGTGCTGCATTGTTGCCATGCAGAAATGTAGACCTAGTTCAGCAAGATTATAGATTTTTTTCCGCGTGAAAAAATACCCCAGAAATCTTAATTTTTAAATGTGATATCTCCAGATTTGAAAACATTGGCATCCAATTCAAAACTTTTAAAGTATTATGTGGGCTAAATAAAATTTGTCCGTGGCCCAGATGCAGACAGAACTCTGCCAGTCTGCATCTCTGGTCTCCATTATCATGTGCCACAAGAAATCCCAGTCTTTAAAGAGCTGTATTTGGTTTACTTGAACTTAGTGAGTTACTAATTTTAGTGGACATATGTGAAACATAATTAATGGAAATTACTTAACTTTTATCAGCCTAGCCCTCAACCCCAAAGCCAAGATGTTAGTAGACATGGTATCCCCCAGTAGAACTGCATTCCTCACACTTTCTAACATCCAATACCTCAGGAGGCTCTGTCCCAGTACTGCATCTATCCTCCTCTTCCATAGCCCCAGTTGTCTGGCTTGCCCCCCTTGTGAATGTCTTTGGGTGTTCAGGGCGATGGTTCATGAGAGGAGCTTTAGATGGTTTACTTGCACCTGACAAGTCTTGGGTTTCATCTAGGAAGTGATTGCAGGTTTGTGATATACTCTTGTGTTTAGAGGAAAGGCAGATTCACTGACTTGTGAGGCTTTTGATGGATTTTTAGAGGAAGAAAGCAACCATAAGTCAGTAGGTGCAGAATAGCCTGGCTTTGAGAAAACTGGCTTGGATCAGGTGCTGTACATAATTGGAAAGAAAAGGGCAATTGCTTTTATAACATCAAAGAAGTCCTGCTTGGCTGAACTTCACTGAAGTTCACCATAGTGACCAGCAGGGAGCACTCAAAGATTCTAAACGAAGGATTCATATCCTCCCCTTCCTCCTTTCCTTCCTTACTTCTCTGAAAAATTTTTTTGTTTTCAGATAATTTTAGAATTAAATAAGAGTTGCAGAAATAATGCAAGGTTCTCGTATAGCCTTCATCCAACTTCCCCTTATGCTAACACCTTAAGTACAGAACATTTATCATCAGTACAATATTATTAACTAAACTATTTAGTTTATTTGGATTTCATCAGTTTTTCCACTAATGCTCTATTTCTGTTCCAGAATTCAGTGCAGGATCCCACATTGCATTTAGTCACCATATTTTCCTTAGTCTTCCCTCTGTGACTATTCCTCAATCTTTCATTATCTTCCATGACCTTGATACTTATGAAGAACATTGGTTAAATGGTTTTTTTAGACTATCTTTAAATTTGGGTTTGTCTAATGTTTTCTTATGATTAGAATGAGATTATGCGTTTTTGGAAAGAATATCACAGAAATGAGGTGTGTCCTTTAAAGGGGGCACATAATGTCAATATGCTAATGATGTTAACCTTGATCCCTTGGTTAACGTGGTATCTGCCAGAGTTCTCCACCATGAACTTTGATAACTCTCTCTTTGTATTTAATCAGTATTCTGGGGAGCTACTTTGAGACTGTGGTAGGCTAAATAATGCACCCTCCTCCCCAAGATATCCAGATCCGAATCCCTCAAATTTTGAGTGTTACCTTATATGGCAAAATAAACTTTGCATGTGTGATTAAGTTAAGAGTTTTGAGATGAGAGATATTACAGATTATCTGAGTGGGCCTTAAATGCAATCACAGTGTCCTTTTAAGAGGAAGGGAAGAGATTTCATATAGAAGACAGAAGATGTATGAAGATGGAAGCAGAGGGGGATTTAAAGATGCCATGCTGCTGGCTTTAAAAATGGAGAAAGGGAGAAAGGGTCCATGAACTAAAGAATACAGCTCTAGAAAAGGGCAAGGAAACAAATTCTTCCCTAGATCCTCCAGAGAGAGCATGGCTCTGCTGACGCCTTGGTTTTGGCCCACTGATACTGATTTTGAACTTCTGGCCTCCAGAACTGTAAGGGAATAAGTTTTTGATGTTTTAAGCCACTAAATTTGTGGTAATTTGTTATAGCAGCCACAGGAAACTAATACAGAGACTACATAAACATTCTATTTCTGTTTAAACTTTCACCTACTAATTTTAGTATTCATCAGTAGAGCTTGCCTACAGCAGTTATTTCTGTGGTCTAATAGTGACTTACTGCATGTCCCATTCTTAAGACATTTGTTAATTGGAATTTTTCTGTGAGGAAGAGTTGTTCCTTCTTTCCCTAATTTATTTATTAGTACGGATTCATGATTAATAATTTCATTCTTTGGGTTATAATCCAATTAATTTGTTCAAATTGTTCCAGTTTTGGCAATTGAGAACTTTTCCAGTTTGGCTTCTTTGCCCTTTTGACGTGCTCTTGTTTTTTTGTTTTTGTTTTTGTTTTTTGAGTACTTCCTTTATGGCACCACAGATATTTCAGGCCTGTCTTTTTTTTTTTTTTTTTCGATTTGATTAATTTCAAGTGTACAGTGCACTGGTTAGACATTTATATAGTTTATAAAATGATCCCCCTGACTGCTTCAGGCCCATCTTGTATTTTATTTGCCTTGGCCTTGGAAGAGTTCATAGTTTTTCCATCTTTATTATTTCACTTATGAATCTTATATTGTGGAAGGTTTTTTCCTCCTATGAAATTTTGTTATTTATGTATTAAATGATTTTCCTACAAGGTAAATTTATTCTAAGATGCGTATTTAGAGTCTGGTGGATTGCTTGATTGCCAGAGCTACCTCCAAGCATGAGTATAATTCTAGTCAAAAGCAAAGCAACATAGCTTTTTAAAAAATTATTTTATTTTTATGTTTTAAGCATTTTTTTCAGTTATAGTTGACATTCAATATTATATTAATTTCATGTGTATAGCATAGTGGTTAGACATATAATTTACAAAGTGATAAGCCTAGTACCTAGCCTGGCACCATACATAAATAATATTATTGACTATATTCCCTAAGCTGTCATCCCTGAAAGCAATACAGCTTTTAATTTGACTAGACTACCTTATCAAGGGCAAGCATCTGGTTTTTTACAAGCTTTCCCAGTGTCACCATTACTGTTGAATTTTCCTAAGCATCTGTACTGTGGTTCCCAGACTATCATAGTCTTATGGCTCAGGGACCTTGATGGCTTCTGACTTTATCAACCTGGCTCAGGGACCTTGATGGCTTCTGACTTTTTCATTATTAGAATATATGTAATGGAGCACACAGATCAGAAGCATATGGAGTTTTACATTTGTACATCTCTTTGTAACTGTGGTAGGCCAAATTCTGAGTTGATTCCCAGTGATGCATGCCCTTATTAATCCTTTCCCTTCAATTATATGACAAAATTGACTAAAAAAAAAAAAAAAAGATTATCCTGGGTAGATCTGACCTAACCAGATAAGCTCTTATCAGGAGCCAGGTTCTTCCTGAAGAAAGGTGCTTGAGTGTGAGAAGGATTCCAGGTGAGGGAGATTTTTGGTTAAAGATGAAGGAGGCCATGTGAAAAGTAATGTAAGCAGCTTCTGGGAGCTGAAGGGCAGTCCCTGGCTGACAACCAGTAAGGAGATGAGAAACTCAGTCACAAGGAAAATAAAGGAAAGAAGAAAGTTCCTTATGACTACAAGTAACTGAATGTGGCCAACGCTAATGAGCTTGGGAGCAGATTTTACATGGAACCTTCAGAAAGGAACACAGCCTCCTGACATCCTGATTTCAACCTGTGAGACCTGAGCAGAAAACCCTGCTGTGCCACACCCCAGATTCTACACCTATGGAACTGTGGGGTAATAAATGACCCTTGTTTTTAAACTACTAAATTTGTGGCGATGTATTACACAGCAACAGAAAACTAATACATTATCACCCAGACCAAGATGTAGAATGTTTAGAACACAGAGAATATTTCTAGCATTCCAGTGTAGCCCTTTACTATTAAAAACATACTTTCACATAATTACAATATTGGATTTTCAATAACCCTCTATATTAAACTAGAAACTAACCTACTTTACAGATAATGAAACCAAGGTGCAAGTTCAATTAACTTAGAAAATCAAAGGGCTCGTATCCTACATATAAAATCCAACTAACTTACACCATTTGGAGGAAGGAAGCCCACTCCCACAACTGTATCAGTAACAGAATGTATATTTTTGTAAATAGTACCACCTCTACCACTACTTGTCCCTACAACTCTGAGAAACTTTGTCAAGTGCCTCTGTGACTTGCTTTCTTCACCTGTAAAAGATATGTTGATGAGCTATTCTCTGAGTTCCCTTTCAACATTCTCTGAATCTAACAGGTATTTCTACCTATATATTATTTTAAGCTTTCCTCTGTAAAATGCTTAGCTTTCAGGGGACAAAAATATAAAGAAAAAAAACCAAATTCCCAAGGTTTTGAAGAAGGAATTCAAACTCAAATTCAAACCATTAAATTGCACGTAGCTAGAACCCTCTCATTGGCCCAGCACTTGACTGGGCGTGCCTACACAGCCTGACACACACTGCCCTCCTTCCTTATGTCCTTGAGATGGCACCCAGGCGTTCCTGTACTTGTCCTGCTCCATGGTCGAGGTGTTGCTCGACTCCACTTCTTTCTTGTCTCGTCTTTCTTCCCCTTCATGCACTCCCCTTTGGCCATCTTTTACTGTTCTTCTGTGGGTAATTCCAAGCCATAGAATTAAGGACGTGTGCACACGTGTACACACACATATACCCCACCCTTAATTCACACTATATCCCTCTCCAGCTCTTTCTAGATAGCTTAGGGAAATTTATCTCTCTGCTTCTCTTTGTCCCATTTGTGGCCCAGATGGCTCTCATAACGGCTAATGAATGACATAGGATGACGCCCTTTGGAGGAAAATGTAAGCTGTGGGCTTTAAAGAGAAGCCAAGACAGTTTAGAGAAGCATGGTCCTTCAAATAATCAAAACGATCCCTTCTGATTTTGCATAAAGATCTTTATATTTGCCTTTACAGCCACCTTTATGTAAACGTCTTCCTTCACCATCTATATTCAGGGTAACCATGAAATTGAGTAGAACTCTGTTTTTTAATTATTTTTAGTCCACGTGTATAGTATATTAGGGATTATATTATTGAGCGAAGAGGCAGTTATCTTACGTGGAAATACATTTTGAGTTTTAAGAAATGCTGACTTTTTAAACAACTTCGGACTGCTTAGAGTCATATTAGTCAGGAAATGTTTTTGTCCCAACTTGACCATAAGAGGGCAATATAGGTACATGTATTTTACTTAAAAAATATGTTATATTATCTAGTGCTGCTTGTTTAAAGAATTAATGTCAGGTTTGGTAATTGATTTGCTTAACTCTGGTAGTATATATAATTAACATTTGAATAAAAATGGTAATTGTTTCCTGTGTGATATACACTTTATAGCATGTATTTGACACAGAATAGTCGAGTCTACTGAATTAACCCTGGTAAAAATTATAACTTCAAAATCACTTTTAATTCCCATTTTAGTAAATGTTCTCTTTGGGCCCCAGATGTCTGCTCTGAAGCGTTCTGGCCTGTGCAGCCATGACATGCTGATATAACTAAGGGAGCTTTGGACAAGGTGTGGTAACATGGTAAAGCCACACTTGGTACATGTTGAAATATTGTTTTTGAATAAGGCAAATAAATATTTGAATGAAGACAGTTAAGGGGTGTTAATCTTTAGTCAGAAGCCTAATTCATCTTTATCTCCACATTTTCCTCATTCACTCATCCATCCTTTCATCCATTCAATAAATATTTAAGTACCTACCAAGGTACTTAACATATTTTGTTAACATATTTGACATATTTTATCTTTCATCCAGAATCCCATAGTTTGAAGAATTTTAGGGCAACATATGGGTGAGGAAATTATAGATATCTCGGTGGTGTTCAGTCCAATGCGTGTGTGGTTATTGTCTCTTAGCCACCCCTTCTACCAACATCTGTGTTGAAATGGATTGTTCTGAATGAGAACTCAACTCTGATACCTAAACTTCCACAGCATATGATTCACAGACCTCTCCAGCACATTGGTGATTTTGATGCCCTCAATTCTGGTAACAACAAAAAATTTTACATTATCTTTTGTTTTCTCTTTGATAATCACATTTGCCAAACAAAACTTTTAGAAATGCTGATTACTTTTCAGTTTAGGCCCTGAACCTGCAAAAAATTAGCAGATGCCTAAGAAAAAAGATTAAATAGGCATTATCTGTCAAATAGGGCACATTTCTTGAGAATAAAACCAAAATAATTTTGAATTAATATGGATAATATCACAAAATCAAATTAGATGAAAATAGTCACATAGGGACTCAAATTTAAATTTCTGAGTTATAAAAGCATTTGGATTTTGAATTATTGAAGCATTGTGGTTTAACAGGTGAGACTATAGATTTACTGGATTATGATCAATGTTTGAACCTTGGGGTGTAAAGGAAGTGATGTAAAATGATTGGTGGTTTTCTAAAGATCGTGGATTTGAATAAGTGTTAGAAATGAAGAAGTGCGTGCCATTAGGGAAAAAGCCAAAAAGAAATGGCTGATCTCTACAAACATCTATTTTTGAAAGGCAGGGTAAGCACAGTGGTTAAGAGTATGGGTTAGGGGCTCACCTACTTGGATCAGGTCCTGGCTTCACTACTTACCAGCTCTGGGGCCTAGGTTATTTTGCTTAACTGGTCTGAAAGGTAGGGATAATAATAGGACTATATTAAAGGATTACTGTGAGTGTTATGTGAGATAATACATTTACATGCTCAAAACAGTGTCTGGTGTGAAGTAAATTTGCAAGAAATATTAACCTCCCTGTCTGTTTGTCTTGAAGCATGTAACGTGTGTTGTTTCTACAGTGGCATTTTCCAATGGGAGGTGTTAGGGAGAAGGATGTTGACTCTTCCTTTGAAAGGGTCCTGTCACTGTGTTACCATGTGTAGCTAGGCTACAACCATGAATACACAGGGCTGATGTATTTTTAATATTGTTCATTGTACATAAAGACCTTCTGAACCTTTCGTATTGTGGGGAATGATTCTTTAGACTGTATGTCATTGGTTCTCTGTATTAAACGGTGGTTTTCAATTCAAATGTTTGATTGGGACCTATGGCTTAAAACTTTCTTTTTAATGGGCTGAGAAACAGTGGACTATTACTGTGCGTATGTAAAACATGAGTTTAAGTTGTTACTTGCCTGGCAGGCATTTGAATGAGAAACTCTTCTCCTATTCTGGGTAATGCTGGACAATGCTAATTTCTACACATTTCCTTGGTTTTTGCCTGCCTTTATTTTTGGCTTTGATAAAAACATGCATAATCAGAGGGAATGCTTAGTGTCCCCTTTCTCCCTTTTGTCCACCCACACCCTGATGCCCATTTCAGATCTTCCCATTTTTGTGCAAAGGAGAACCTTCTGTAAAAGGGGAAAAGTCTGGGATTTCTTTGAGATGTAATGGCAGGAAATGTTTCCCATATGCCATCAGGCTAACAAATATAGGGGCATAATTGTGTTTCTTGGAACATTTTTCGTGTACAGTTTGTTGGAGGAGAATTTCAGAATTTTTCTTTCTTTCTCTCTCTCTCTTTTTTTTAATTTCATTTTTCTTTTCAGAAACGAGCAACCTAGAACTATCTCAAGGCTCCGGAACTTTTCCTTCTGGGTATTATTACAAAGATCAATGGAGGCCTAGAAAGTTTAAGATGCGCCAGTTTAACGACCCTGACAATATTACAGATTGCTTACAAAGAAAAGTGGTGTATTTATTTGGTGACTCAACAATCAGGCAATGGTTTGAATACCTAACTACATTTGTTCCAGGTAGGTACTTTGCTTTTTGTTTCCCATATGCACGAAATCAGTTTTGAAATAAGCAGACTCACTTGGGTGCCTGAAGAAAGGCATCAAATGAAAAAACGGTTATTTCTCTGTAGGGCTAAAGAGGTATCCTAACCTGGAGAGACGTGAGATAGTTTCTGATCAGTGGTGAGGTTGTGATATATTGATGGAAGCACTGGATTCTTATCGAAGCTCATATCACTGATCAGCTGTGTGACCTTGGGCAAGTCATTTGCTTTTCAAAGGGGCTTCACTTCTCCATGTGAGTTGAGGCAGCTCAACAATATCACCTCATGGATGTCTCTCACTTCTAATATTTCCAGTTGCTTCTCTCTTAGTTCTTTTTGGTCCAACTCCAAGTTGATATAAGAGATTTAACTGGAAAGAAGCAGCCAAACAGACTGGAGTTCATTTTAAGATATCCATGCAGCAAAGCCATCCTTGTGTTATTCGTTGGCATTTCATTGGGTGGCTCCGAGATGAAGCTGCTCTTACTGAGGGAGCCTGTCCAGGTAAGACCCAGCGGTATTAGCTTCCTGGTTTCACTGCTGGACTCTGGGGCTACTCTCCAGATTTGGAATAAACCCCACATAATGGAGTTCCATACTTTATTAACAATGGGCTTTTTCCTTTTCCTGGCAGGGGTGTGGATAGGGTGAGGAAGGTTGGATTCTGAAGACCCTGCTTACAATTTAGAGAGCTAATAAATAGTTCTGTGGGAACTGTTTTTTATGGCTATATATGGGCAGAGACTGTCATAAAACAAATTCTCAGTTTATTGTGAGTTGTTGTTTGTGATGTTTTTCTTTTTTCTCTCTTGTTTATTACATCAACTTAGTTTTACATTTAGTTTTTAGAAGAAAAAGAGGAAATAGATATGACCCCAAAAAGTGAAAAGTTAATTCCAATTTTTGTTTTGCTTGTTTCTTTGTTGAACTCAGACAGCTGAGATCTGGTTGATAAAGCATAAATTAAACATCAAGAGAAAGGAAGTAATTTGTATGGCACTATGCTAGGCATGATTTGATGCTGACCAGGCAGGGCCCTCCGAGAGCTGCTTGATTCTTAAGTTCTTATGACGTAGCTCGGTTATTCCCTTTTATAGCAATGATTACAGTGTCTTGATCGTTTTCCACCATAGCGTTTGCAGAGATTTTCACCTGATAAAACTTTGTGTCAGTGCTTGATCTTAATCAAAAGAAAGTGGTAGATTGAGCTTTTATTCAATTTAAGTGGGGATAAATGCTAAGTAGTAGTGAATTAAGCAGGAAAATCTAGAAGATGAACCTGGGACTGCACAGAAAAAAAGTGAAACTTTTACTTTAACCCTCAAGAGTAACATAGGACAGTTATATTTTGGTCCTTCTTCAGAAGGACCAAATTCTCCATCTGAGCATTGCTGACTTACAGCACTGTAGTAGTTGGCCCTGAATAGGTCTTAGGGAATGTTAATTGAATTAGGTTGCCAAAAGTTACTTAGTCTGTTTTCTGTAAGACTCTTATAGGAATATTTAGGAAAGACAGGCCTTCTTTTCTCATGGAGCATATGTTAAGTGATGAATTGTACAGACAAAGGTTTTTAGGAGTAATGGAATCAGTGATTCCTGGAATCTTCAGACGATCTTGGAGGAGCTGGTCTTTGAAACACAACTTAGATAAAGGGGGTGCAGAGAGAAGAGAATTCTAACTTCTGCTGCTGTCTTTGTTATTCTTATGACAGAGATAGACGTTCCCTAAGATATTAACATGATTTTCCACCCATAGGGTGAAATTGAAAGTCAGAAGAAACAGTCGCTCTTTTCTTTCCTTTATAGCAAAAAGGTATTTGGTTACACAATAACAAAAAGAGGTATGTGGTTACTATTATGTGTTCATAAAGAAAGAATATTTACCTGTTAGAAGAATAATGTGTAAATGCCAAGTTAATTTTTAGATATTCAACAATCAGTGCAAACAGGAAGATTTCTAGACCTAATAAGTAGTGGTAAACAGGTTATTTTGCTTCTGAGGTATAGACCTAGGTATAGAATCTGTCACTGGTGTTATTACTTGTGATGTGATGTTTATGGAGTGAATTAAATGATAATTATGTTAGAATGAAAGTCCATTGAGAAGGGGGCAGCAAGATGCAATGAGAACTAGGTATTCCTTTTATATTTGTATTGTACCTTTTTGTTTTTGTACTTTTATTTTAAAATCTGTTCTTTGAAGCTACTAAGAGTAAAGAAAATATGTATGCTTGGTTTAAACACTTTTATGAATTTGAATTTTCCTTATTTTAGATTTAGTGGAGTTTAACTTGGGTAGTCCCAAGAATGTGGGTCCCTTCCTTGCGGTGGACCAGAAGCACAATATTCTGCTGAAATACCGCTGCCACGGTCCACCGATCCGCTTCACGACTGTCTTTAGCAGTGAGCTCCGTTATGTGGCGAATGAGCTGAATGGCATCGTGGGAGGGAAGAACACAGTGGTTGCCATAGCGGTGTGGTCTCATTTCAGCACCTTCCCCTTGGAAGTGTATATCCGGCGGCTCAGAAACATCCGCCGAGCAGTGGTCCAGCTCTTGGATCGAAGCCCTAAGACCGTGATAGTCATCCGGACAGCTAACGCCCAAGAACTGGGGCCTGAGGTGAGCCTTTTCAACAGTGACTGGTACAACTTTCAGCTGGACACCATCCTTCGGAAGATGTTCTCAGGGATTGGAGTATATCTCGTCGATGCCTGGGAGATGACCCTGGCCCATTATCTACCCCACAAGCTACATCCAGATGAAGTTATTGTGAAGAACCAACTAGACATGTTCTTGTCCTTTGTATGCCCCTTGGAGACCTAGCCTGCCCTGGAGGGGACTGGAAGAATCACTTTCAGTGACCTTCTACATCACCTGCATTACTGAAAGTTTATGGGTGGCTCTATGGGAAGATGGCTACATTGTTATGCAGAACGCTTCAAAAAGAGCTGGACTGTGTGTAATGATTAGTAAGGAGCTTAGAAAATACAGATTACATTATAGTTACCTATAAGATGTTCTCCAATCTTGACTTAGCCATGGGAGAACCATTATTAACAGCTTCCACACACTGTATTGCCATTGTAACCAAAGAAGTTAATGAGTGTGTTTGAACTAGCTTCTCCTGGGAGAGGATATTACTGTGCTAGAAAGTGTGAAAAATGTTCTGACCTAAATGGAACGGACTAGTTTGCCTGGCAGTGAAGTATTTGTAGCTCATCTGGAAAGGGAAATTGACTATATCTGCATGAACAGTGCAGTTAGTGCATCTTCAGCAGGTGAACTAACAAGGCTTGTAGTTGGTGGCTCCTGTAACACACTGAAGCCTGCCGTGTCTCAGGAGTTTCTCTTGATCTACTTTTTCTGAATTACTTGAAAAGACCAGTGTACTTGGTCAGAATTCTAGTGAGAATATGTACAATGTCCTGCTTTTATCTAGAAAAGGAGCAAAAGGGAGATACGAAAGCCGTATGTGTAAAAATCTCCGTGTTCAATTGGTATTTGCATTGGGTGATTGTTATTTATTTGAGCTAAATTTTACATGACGAATACTTATTCTAAAATAACCACTTTTGAAACTGGAAGGGTGAAATCTGTAAATGGAAATTTATTTTTGTGTTCTGAAGTTAGGGTTTTAAGAATTGACTTTTATGTAAAGAATGCTATTTATTATAAAGATGTGGAAATTGTTTCCATCTGTTTCAAGTATTTCTTTTTTGGTTTTTATTTTGAGTTGCATACCAAAATTAGAAATTAAAGTTAGATATTGAAATCTATGATGGGTATTTTTTGACTCGGGTAAAGGTACACACATTTCTCTCATTCTTGGAAGTAAAAAGCTGCTATTCCTACTGGCTATCTTAAAATAAATTTTACTTGACTGTCTTTTAATTTTAAGTGAGTTTAAGTTAATTTGGAGCCATTTAGTAAGTACTCTTTTCTTTTTCAGCCTATGTGATTACAGTCTGGTTTTAGTTATCCCTAAATGGACATGTGAAGAAACTGGGGAGACTTTAGAACTAAAGACAGATGCTTAATACATGGAAAAATGTACTCTTAGAAGAATGGGTCAAATAATTTTTTTTTTTTTTTTAACTTAAAACAGAGTCTAAGATCTTTCCTATCCTTGAGGGCCACCTTCAAGTTTATAAAATATGTATCTCTGAGGAATGAAGATTTTAAAATTATGAGTCTGAAGAGTACCAAGTAGTTAAATATATTAAGATAGCTTAATTTTAATGGTCTTTACACTTTAGAGTAAGGATCACTTGGAACATTTTATAAAAATGCAGAATTAGGAACTATGCCTCTTGGGAATCATGAAATCACCCTTTGTGACAAATGCCCAGTGTTTTTGATGCAATGGTGGCATGCTACACTATTGAGAAACAATAACAGAAGAGGTAAAATAGAACTAAGGAAATAATATTCCTTGTCTATTATTTCAGAGGCTTTACTCCAAAAAAATCTGATCATGATCTAATAGTGTAGGTGATATTAGCTTTATTTTATAGATGAGGAACTTGAGTTTGAATTTGAACTAAGGTATATGAGAGTCCAAAGCCCTTTTCAACTACAACTTGTACTTTTGTAAAGAGAAGTTTTCTTTTTCATGAAAGAAGTTTTGAGAATTTTCTCAGGAATTATTGGAGAAGGCTGAGTCATCATCCTCCCAGGAGTATTTCAAGGAGAGGACAGTGCCTCTCAGGGCTTTGGAGTGATGATACTTGTTTGTGCAAATATTTTCTTGTGATCTTATTCAGTTTCTGTTATTTAGTGACATAAGGTCCTAAAGATTTGATGACACAGTTTCTTGAAGTATTCTCAGTCACCTCTTTTGTCTACTCTCTGTTGTTGAAGCTTTTAAAAAATGCATAAGAATAGAATTTGAAATATCTAAATCTCAGAACGATTAGATATAATATTTTAATGACTTCTGAAAAGTTTGTTTTAGGCCAATACTGTATGGTTGTGAATATTAGATGTCAGCCAAATAATATAGTTTGTTTTAAATACATATTTTCCATTATAAAGAGCATCATAATTTTTTTAAATAATTTTTTATTTTTTCAATTACAGTCAAAATACATTATATTAGTTTCAGGTGTACAACATAGGATTAAACCTTTATATAATTTATGAAGTGATCACTCATAAATCTAGTACCCATCTGACATCATACATAGTTATTACAATATTATTGACTATGTATATTACATCCCCATGACTGTTTTCATCATAATTTTTAAAAACTGTAAAATCTAGAAGAAAATTTATGGCTGGAATCCATAATTCTATCATCTGAACTCAAAGATTATTACCATTTTGGTATATTTCCCTACTAGTCTTTTTTAACCACATAGCTGTAATCACAGAATATGTAATTGCAACTTGTGTTTTTTTTTATTTAACATACAAATATTTTTCTATGTTAAGTAGTTTTCATAACTAAATTATAAAAGTCTACCTAAGAGTTCAGCTAATGATGTTATCGTTATTTATATAAGTTGGCTATTATGGTTGGACATTGAGGTTTATAATAAAGTATTAAAACAGTGGCTTACATACAATTTCATTGGGTTAAAATATGGATTTTTATTTTGGAACCTGACAGGTTTAATTACATTTAGTGGATCTCATATTCTGGAACTCACATGATTGACTTGATACTATTTGTGAAAGGGAGAATCCATAATAAGCCTCATCTATATTTTATAGAAGTCAAATTATATTTTATAGAAGTCATCTATTAAGAGTAACCTTTCTTTAGCAAATACAAAACAGACCTTTGGTGTTCTGCTATGATTCATTTTACCAATTTGAACAACCATCATTTTATTAAATACCAACTGACACTTCTTGGCTTCAGGTATTAAGTTTAGATTGATACATCAGAGGGCTTATCCAGAATATAGATGGTAAGCCTTTACATATCCAAGTGTTACACGTCAGAGATGAGTCTATTTCCGGGCCCTATTGAAAGAAATAGCAATTACTGAGAGGTACAGGGAAATAAACATCTAAGGGGGAGAAATTAAAAACAACCCTTCCCACCCCCCCCCCTCAAAAAAAGTTTTTTAACATTATCTTCATGGGTCTGGGTAAATTCGGCTTTTTAACATTACATTAGCTAGTCACTTATGCCAGAAATCCCACCTTCAGTGTATTTATTCTCTTATACTAAGCATTATTCTCCCAAGGACAAAAAAGTTTTTTAACGTTAACTTCATGGGTCTGGGTAAATTCGGCTTTTTAACATTACATTAGCTAGTCACTTATGCCAGAAATCCCACCTTCAGTGTATTTATTCTCTTATACTAAGCATTATTCTCCCAAGGACTTACGTCTACAGTACGTTTTCAGTGCACTGAGAATGCCTGACTCCTCAATGTGCAATAAGTAAGATCTCCAAGGTGCTCTTTTTTCTCTTTCAAAGTGAGATCACCATCCCTGAGTGCTAGGCACGCCTAGAAATCTGGGGCAGTGGGTAAAAGATAAGAGGGTTGTCTATGGCAGAAGTTTATAGGATACAGAAGGTAGAAGGGCACAAAATGCACCTCACCAACTTCTGTCTAACCTGTCTCTTGAAAGTGAACTTTTACATTTTCATTTTTAAAAAGTGTGAACTTGAGTGTATTATATTTTGATTTTTAATATTCTGCATTAAATGAGAGGAAATTAGACTTCTTTTAAGAAAGACCTCCTGGTGTTTAGATGCCCTTTCCTACTGGAGGACCAGGAATTTCCTAATTATAGAGCTGGATTGTAATTGCGTGGAGGCGGGGTGGGGGGACGGAGGGCAGTTGAGGGAAAGCAATACACAGATGACAACAGTAAGTGTCTCAGAAGGGAAAGAATCCACAGTGAAACCAAATGTCATAGGAAGAATCCTTTTAGCATTGTGCAGTGGTTCATTCTTTTTAAATTCACTCCATCTACCGTCCCCCACCCCACGAAAATATCACCAGGTTACAGGGCAAATGCTTTATTTGTCGCAGATTTCTCGTCCTTTAATTTGCCGATGACAATACATGATAGCGATACTACTTTTTGATTGCCATATTTAAAAAGCTATGTTGTTTAAGATGAGACCCCACCCCAGCCCCCAACGCATACACACATTCAGAGGCCATACAGAAAAAGCGAAATAAGAGATGACTCTAATGAGGCAACGCTAATGCCTAGCAGTGGTCACTGAGACATTTAAAAAAGGCATCCCTAAGAAAAAAATGTTTTGTTTATAGACTTCTGATTCCTCTGCGCGGCTCCAGTCCAGGTCTTGGTGCCCGCCCGGGAGGGGAATGTCCGGGACTCGGGTCGGTACCTTTTTAGCCTGGGAATTTCCAGTATTCAGAAAAAATCCACGAACCTAGTCCTCGCGGCCCCCTCCCCGCCTCCTCTGCCCCTCCTCTGTGCCCACGCAACCCCTTTCCAATGAGAGTTTGACCGTATTCTGTAGTTTAGAGAACAGTTCCTTAGCTTCCCCCGCCCCCAACCCCTCTCTAGACGGGTGAACAGAAAGCGAGCTAGCGCTATAAAGGGGGCCGGGAGAGGGGCTGGTCTCCTCTCGCCTCAGGTCAGACGCTGAGTTCTTAGAGAAAAAGGCTGCTTAACTGCTGCTGCTTATCATGTAACCTCAAAAGGAAACTGAACATCTTTCTCATGCTCTCACGTACTTGGGTTATTATCGCTGATTATAGCTGGAAACGATTTGCCTTTACGTATTTGCATGACTTGACTCTTCAAACACAAAGGTATATTTTTATTATTTGATATTTAGTATGAAAAGTATCTTAAATGCTGGGTTTTTTTTTTTTCCTTTCTTTTCTTTCCCCAAATTCAAAGTCTTTCACTTTGGAGTCACTTTCTGATATTTGGGTAATCAAACTTGTTTTGGGGCAAAATATTGGGGGCAGTTTTTTGGGGAAAGAAAATCTGGGAAGTTTTTATAGTTGGGTAATGGCTGTGAATCATTTCTGTTTGCCTTGAAGGCCCAGGAAGGACTAAGATGCTGATGGAGAAGGTGGCTAGGATGAGTGATGAAAGTAAAATAAATTTAATGGAATAATTTATCTTTAGGCAGTGAGAAAGAACAGTGATACCCCAAGGCAGAAATCTCTCAGGAGGTTTGAGTGTGGGTTTAGAGGTATACTTTCTCATCTCACCAAGGTGAGATATGGAAAAATATATCTGAGTAGATGGAAATGTTTTATAACATGCCCTCATTAATTCTTGTATTACCTCTGAAATGTTAAAGACAAATATTACAGGACCATTTTGTGAATAAAGGAAACCTGAAATTTGATGACTTGGTAGGACCCCCAGATTTATAACAATCTTTATAAAGTATTTTAAGAGATTTTGTGCAAATAAAAGCACATTTCTAGGTAGGATAGATTAGGGATTCTCTCTACATGGATTAGTGAACTGGCTGTTGTAGGGTGGGGGTGTCCCAAAGAGGATGACGTCTGAAATGTGAATTTTAAGCTCTTGGTAATATATATTCCCCCACTTTAAAGAAATACATCATTTGGTCAGGTGAAAAAAGTTTAAAGTTTATTCACTGCTCTCAATAATCCCTGACAGAGGAGAGGCTTGGCCATACAGATCATCTAGTCATGCCGATAACATCTTTTTATTTGGCTTCAGAGGACAGTGTGTGATCTACCAGCCTTCTCCATTATAACATCTTGCTTAGGCTAAAGACACAGTTGGGCAGGATACAGGCAAGGAGCCCTGGGCCACGGGAAAAGTCAGTCTGGGATGAGTTAGCATAAGAAATCAGAGCGCAGCACAAATAATGTTAAACGTTTGGCAGCATCCTTTCCAGCATGGAGATAATGACTGTGGTCAGCATAATTTAGTTGCCCAGATAAAGACTTTTCCTCACT